ACTAAACTGAAAGAGGTTTAATGTTCTAATCTACGGGAGCAAGTATTTATGGGGTAAATGTGGAAGCGAAAGAAATTATTTGATCTATTGTCTTATTCTATTCCGTTGGAAAGTCCCTGAGTTTGCTGGCTACTGATTGGTTGAGCGTAAGTTCTGTTTTCTTTTAATATAGGCTGTTACAAGAAATAGCTCAAGTTAAGTTTCGGTTTTGTTCCCAAATCAAGCACTTCTGAAACCTAACTGGTTTTGCTGCTCAGGGGTTCTTCAGGCCTGGTCTCCATTTTAATTTACTTTAACAAACTGTAGAGGATGTTAGAAAAGGCATAAAGGCCTGGGTAAAGGGACTGCGAGAAAGGCAGACATCTGGCAGTCCTGCAAACAGGACTTGGGATATGAATGCTTATCGCCAGCTGCATACAGCAGGCTTTGGAATGCGTGGGAGCATGACCCGTGTTGTCCCTGTGTTTTTCTTTATATCCTTAAGGAGTCATAAGGAAATACCAAGATAAATATAGATTTATTGCATATCAGTAACTAAATTTCTTTAGAATAATGTGTTTGCTGGCACCAGAGATTTTATCTGTATGTTCTTTCCAGACATTCTATCTGTATGTTCTTTGCTTTGACCTTGCATATCTTTCCCTGCAATAAATATGAAGGTTTGGAGAGGTACAGGAGCTCTTTGAAATGAAAAGAGGCTCTCTTCCTCTTTTCTGGCTTACAGGGAAAAATGTAATTGTAGGTCAGGAGACAAATGTATCAATTTACAGGTGTGACAATGATCAAGTTAAAGCAAATGATTATATTGCAGTCTTTTATAGGACAAAGCTATAATTTCTGATGTCTAGGTGTCTTAGAAGACCCCTTTTCTGTAAATAACATTACTAGGACATTATAAAACAGAAAAAAAACAGGGCATTACATTTTTATAAAAGTATCTGCACTTAGGAGAGTAATGATGATACTTTCGTGAATGTTATCAATTTACTGTTTTGTCAGAACTAGATTTTAGGACTCAAAATAGTGAAGTTTCTTTTCAGTTTTTGGGGAAGAGGAGAAAATTTTTATTTCCTCTTTCTGAGACACTTTCTGTTAGCAGTTAGTGATAGAAGGACCAGCATTTGAAGTGTAAATACCAAAAATGGACTTAAGAAGTTTAAAACTTACAATGTAGAAAAAGGAAAGGTCATAAGGGAAATTTTTACAAATGAAGTAGGCTCTCATAATGTATATCTAGCTTCTTCCACTTCTATTCCACCCTTAAACCACTGCCACACTAAATCTCCTAAAAGTGCAGTTCTGATTATTGATACCCCCATTGTGCATCTGCCTTTCATGGGTCCCCAGTGGCTATATCATGGCCATTTGCTGTCTCTAATCTACCTTTATTACGTCTTGTTACCAAGTTTTAAATTTCCCTTCTCGATACACTCTACACCGGTGATTCTCAGCGCAGGCTTCCTTTAAGGATCATCTGGGGGAAGGACCTCTTAGAACATCTGGATGTTCAAATGCCACCCCTAGAGATCCTGATTTAATTAGTCTGCTGTATATTAGAATTGTTTTGTAAAAGTCCCCTGGTGATTCAGATGTGAAGGCAAGGTAGAGAATCTTTGTTCTGCCTCATTCTATGTCTAGCTGGAATAACTTAATTTCCCCTTCATCTGTTGAAATCCTGCCCGCCCTTTAAGGTTCAGTAAAAGTGTCATCCCCTG